CGGACCTGTCACGTTTGAATTATTGGGAAATCCAAATGTAAACTCTAAATAATTAACCGGTCTTCTGCAACGTAAGTCCTCCTAGTCCTCCTAGAGTACCCGGTCAAGTGCCTGGTAAACACCCCTTCAAGAGTAACCGGTCAAGTACCCGGTTATATGATGCAAATCTCATATGATAACTGGGTTAAGTCCCAAGAGTGGAAGGGTTAACATAAGAGTTCTCGGGAGGGATCTAGGAAAAAGAAGGCCGGCCCTCTTCAAATGGAATGGTCACCAATTAAGGAGGCTTTCATGGTCCGGTCGCATTCCTTTGTGCCTAGTTGAACTTCTTGAATGGTTAAGTTTCTTGCATGGTTATTTTCTTGCCTGGTCCCCCTTTGAAGTTGACTGGTTAGACTTCCCTCATAATGAACACATTTGACTGAACTGCCATGTCAACAAAAGTAACCGGTCTAAAACTTTAAGAATCATTTGAAGAATGTCCAGGTCTAATTGGCTTGGTTGACAATTTCCCAGAACATGCTTGCTTCCAAGTCAATAGAAGTAACCGGCCTAGGCCTGGTTAGGTAACATCTTGAAAGCGTCTAGGTCTGGTAGGCTTTGTTGAAAGCATCCAAGTCTTGAACTCTTGAAAACGTCCAGGTCACGTCCATCTTGAACTCTTGAAAACGTCCAGGTCACGTCCATGTTGAAATAAAATAAGTGGACAAACACTCAGGGACGGAGGGAGTATGTGTTTACATTATACTTGAACTAATATAAATTTAAACCGATATAAACTCAAATCTATATAAACCCAAATCAATACAATCCGAATTGATACAAACCTGAATCGATATAACCCAAACCGATACAAACCCGAACCGATATAAACCCGAATCGATATAAACCCGAACTGATACAAACCCGAACCGATACAAACCCGAACCGAAACCAAACCGAAACCGAAATAAACCCGGAACCGAACTGACCCAAACCGAACCGATCCGAACCGATTATAACATATATCCGAAAGAGACCCGAACCGAAAAGACCCGAACCGATTGAGCCGATTGCCAGGTCTGGCCCCACGCATCTCGCAAATTATATCGTACATCCGGTTGTACCTATTTTTAGGTACAACCGGCTAATTGAAGAAGGGAATAAGATGGAACTGAAGCCGCCGGAATTACTGCCGCTTCTCTATTTGCCGGGTCGGGTCACCGTAGAAGAAAGACGGAAGGCGCCGGCGGTGATGACGAGGAGCAGCGAAGACGGAAGACAATGGAAGAGCGAAGATATGACGAAAATCAAGAGAAAACGATGGAGAAGGAAGATCTAAGGAGAAGATGGCGGCGGCGTTACTTAAAGCAGGTCGTGTCGAAAGAAAGAAAGCAGCTGGGAGGAGGGGGGTGAAACCCTATTTGCATAAAAAAGGTTATTTATGGTATATGTTTTATTTTATGTTAGAATGAGCATTATGTTATTTGAGAATGAGTACTATTTTTATTCAGAATGAACACTACATTATTTGTGGATAAATATTATAACTGTATTGAATAAATGTGTGAAAAT